TTGTAAGCCGTCCAATCTTTTAAATATTCCTTTATATGTGGTTCAGAATTCTAGCATCATCTCCTGAGCCTGCTTGATCCCATATTCTGTGTTGTTGGGGACGGAGCTCCTCACTGCACGTCTACCCAATCCACCATCTTAGATGTTGTGTTTAAATCCCGATATAGAAATGTTTAAAGTAAAGCAAACCTAGAAGACTGAAAATAGGGAACCAGAGACATCAATGTATAATGAAGTCAACTACAAAGCAAAAAGAGGGAATAGTGTAAATAGAGAACTTCCAAGTGGCAATTGGAAATCAAGTCTATTTCACTATAAAACAGACTGTTTTAGCTGGGGAAAAAATAACAAAAGTGCACGATAACTTCTAAGAAAAATAATACACTTACATATCAAAATAAAATAGGAAAAAATCATAAAGATTTGGTAAACATTGAAACAACAGAAATGAAAATGATAACAAAACCCTCAAACAAAATGAACTTAGCATAGAAAATTATGTGGAACAAAGAATCCAGCAGCACAACAGAAAAAAATGACAATAATCAATGCATACCTATTGATAATTATAGTAATGTAAGTAGATTTAAATGTTCTTGTCAAGAAACATAAAGAGCAGAATGTATAAGAAAACAGAATCCTTCCATATGTTGTCTGTAAGAGACATATCAAAAAGATGGAGACAGTACCACACCAGAGCTCATATGTTGTTTGTGGTGGTGTTCATAGTGTTATCAAGTCAGTTTCAACTCATAGCAACCCTGTATAGAGTTTCCAGGGAATAGCTGATGGGTTTGAACCAGCAACCTTGTGATTAGAAGTCCAGTACTTATAGGAATGCAAAATGATTCAGCCACTGGAAAAGTTTGGTGGTCCCTCAAATAGTTAAATGTAAAATTAACATATATTCCAGCAATTCCACTTCTAGGTATGTGCCCCAAGAATGGAAACCAGATACCCAAATACATGAGATTGCACGTTCGTTTATGGGAGCACAAAGCCTCATCTTTCACTGATGGAGTAACTGCTGGGTTTGAACTGTGTATCCTACAGCACCATCAGTCTCTTGTTTTGCCCTTGATTTGCATTTATCTGATTATTAATGATGTTGAGAATCTGTGTTTATAGGCCACATGCTTCTCTTCAGTGGGGGGACTTTTGACCCACTTGGAATGTTAGTGTGTAGTGACTAGAACTTAAAGGAGTCTGTTTGTTGTGTGCTTGTTTGTTTATTTTGAAAATCCAGCTGTTCCTAGGGAAATTTTCCTTTTATCTTGTAAGTTATCCAGTCCATGTGCTGTTAAGTGCTGTTGAGTCGGTTCTGACTCATAGTGACCCTGAGTAGGGGTCCAAGAAGCAGCTGGTGAGTTTGAACTGCCAACCTTGTGGTCCAGTGTTTGTCTCCTACAGTACCTCTCCAAGACTCCTACTTAATCCTTACAATGACTGGAAATTCAACAGAAAGATAGTGCTTGAGTTGTCTTCAGAATTAAATGGAAGGATTTTTCTTAACATATTTTTTAAGAATCTGAATATTTGCACTTTCTAGAAACAGAACTTACTAATGGATGAAAGTAGAATGTTCCACTTTTAAATAATTTAAGAGATAGAGCCTTAATTTGAATGCCTATTTCTAAGGCCTTTTGGGAGAGTATCATAAGAATGACTTTTCATTACAGGTTCACTTCTGAGCCACCTTGAGAAAAAAGACAAGGAATAAAGACAGAGGCCAGAATACCATCTTTATTGCTGACTAGGTTGGGAGACCTAGTTCTACCTAGCTGTTGGCAAATGCGCTTCTAGATACCGACTTACACGCCATTCACTGGCAAGGTTGGACGGAACCGTGGTGGAGAGCTCCTGGACCTGAGGAGCAGCATAGATGTGTGGTTTCTGAAGGAAAAGTGTTTCCCAAGAGAAAGAAGAGACATGCTCATTGGAGTGTGTTCTGTCTAGTTTTCCTAAATTATCCATCAGAGAAGGCTTTCCTGGGGCACTGAGGAAACGCAGCAGAGAGAGACCAAGAATATTAAACTGAGACTCCGGCAGTTAGTTTGTGGGAAGATTTTTAAAAATCTATTAACAAATGTGCCATTTTATTAATGCATATTATCAACCAAGTATCTAGCACTCTACGTGGTACTTTGGAGTATAAAATAAATAATAGCTAGGATCCCTGTCCTTTGAGAGTAAGCAGTATGATTACGGAGAAATTATTTATGTGTAAAATAAACAGTACTTCTTTGTGTAGCAATGTAGCTCTTTGTAACGAAACTATACTTGGTGCACATCACGGCTGTTATTCCCATTTTAATAATAAGGAAATTCAGATTAAATAAAGTCAGATGACTTGCCCACACTGGGACTTCAGTCAGGTGTTCTGACTCTGTTAAGTACTGTTGAGTTGGCTCGGCCTCATACTGACTGGCCTTGTATATGGTTTCCAAGGAATGACTGGTAGATTTGAACTTCCAGACTTGTGGTTAACATTCCAGTGCTTATCCTACAGTGCCACACCAGGACTCCAGAGCGTAGTTTATTTCTTTCCCGCTGCTTCATGCTACTTTCTTCAGAAAACGCTGTACTCTGAGGTGGTGTATGACAAGTGCCCAGGGCACTGGGCAGTTTTTACAAGGACTCCTTCTCTGTAGGCTGGGAGCATTTGTACTATAGAAGGCTTCACAAAGCAGGGTGGATTGAAGGATAAAAACCAAACTAAACCCATTTGCCTTCAAATGGATTCCCACTCACAGCAACCTTAGGACAGAGCAGAACTTCCCCATTGGGTTTCTAAGGCTGTAGTCTTGATAGAAGCAGACTGCCTCATCGTTCAGATGGGGAGCAGCTGGTGGGTTCAAACTGCTGACTTTTTGATCTGCAGCTGAGCACTTAACATTGCCCATTGATAGATTGTGGATGAGTAGAGAGCTCAAAAAGGAGCTCTATTAGCGTAATGGTTTATAAGCTGGGCCGTTAACCGCAAGGTCAGTAGTTCGAATCTGCCAGCCACTTCAAGGGAGAAAGATGAGGTTTTCTGCTCCCATAAAGATTTTCAGCCTCAGAAACACTACGCAGGGTCACTCTGAGTCAGAATGGACTCATGGCACACAACCACTGCCACCACCGGGGAGTGCCAGGAAACGGTACTCAATAGATGGAAAGGGTTCGTGGGAGGTATGGTGTGCGAGGAGGATTCTAGAGACTTCTGGCTATGCTGTTGGATACATGTTGGGGAGCTGTGTGGAGAGAGTGTGAGTGAATTGTTAATCCAGATTCTTCAACATGGAACGTTTAGAAGAAATGTGTATGCCTCCTGCAGTAGACATTAGAGAGCTATTGAGCGCTCTTAAGCTGAGAAGTGTTGTTATTGGTCACCACTGAGTAACTGATGTGGAGCAGAAGGAAACATTACCTGGTTCCACATCTCCATTATCATTGATAGGTCTGAGCCCATTGTTGCGGCTGCTGGGTCAGTGGATCTCCCTGAAGGATTCTCTGATTTTCTCTGACTTTACCAAATACAATGTCCTATTCTAGCAAATGATCCTTCCTGATGATGTGGCCAAAGTAAGCCAGATAAAGTCTGGAAAGAACATGACTGAAGCAGTCCCCTTTGTAATTTCATAACCTTTATGTGTTTATTTTGAGCTTCATTTAGACTCCACCCCCACCCCCAAGCTTTACATTTATACTCTTGACTTTAATATGGGCATTTTTTATTAATCTGAGAAATCCTGCTTTGTCTTTTTATTTTCTAAATTAAGTCTTCTATTTCTTTTCATTTTATTCTCTGTCGCTACTCAAGTATTCTGTGACTTTAATTTTAGTAACTGTCTCCTTCTCTACCACACATCATTAGAAACAGACTTCGTGACTAACCTGTCACATCAGTGCTTGTTCCTGAGTGGAGCTGAAGACAACCAGTTTCCTTCTTTATCTTTCAGGTCCTACCTCGAACACAAGACCTCCATGAACTATATGCTGGCAACACGCCTCTTCCAGGACAGGTAGGGACTTGCTCTTCCTGGGATGTCTGTAGAGGGCCTTGCAGAAGACATGACGTAAAGCTTCATTTTTCCAGGGTTTATCATGAGCTCTCAACAATTTGTGACATACCCAGTCTCAACAGTCACCCGGAATTTTACTATCTTTCAGGACAAGCCCCTTTTTCACAGACATGATCATCTGGGTTGGTTGGTTGGTTGGTTGGTTGGTTGGTTGGTTGGTTGGTTGGTTGGTTTTCGTTAGAAGATATTAGAATGATCAGATTCGTAAAGGTGTAAGAAACGACAACTAATATTTTTTGAATGTAAGGGGAAATGATGGAAAACAGACATTGAAATGCACATATAACACAGTAATCGGGATTGCTTAGCCCCATAAACTTTTGTAGACCCTGAGATATAACTGCTATACAATTCATTTCCATAATTGATTCTCAAAGTTAAGCTCCCTAGGCATTTAGAAAAGTCTTTATTTTTAGGATATGTGTCTCTTCTTTTAAATGATTCTTGAGACAGAAACCCAGATTTCAGGCATTTCTTACAATTTCATGATCTATTATCAGGTAACATGGGATTTGTAATTTCTCTGTAAATTTGTGGTCATTACTCTGTGGATTAAGTAATTACATTGTGTGGCTTTAATGAAAGAGATCTTTGTATTTAAATAGAAAATAGAAAGCCTTAGGTTTTAAAATATATATATGTTGTTGTTGTTAAGTGCCGTCGAGTCAGTTCTGACCCATAGCAACCCTGTACAGGGTTTCTGAGGAGCCGTTGGTGAGCATCAACTGCCAACCTTGCAGTTCAAACGGCTTTGCAGTCTGGCACATTAACCCACAGCTCCACACCAGGACTCCAAAAATATATAGAGAGATATATAAAACCTTTGTGTTGTTGCCATTTTCCTCTGGAAACTTTTTTTTCTCCCAAAGTTTTTATTGTGAATCGAATAACAGTTTACATGGGAGAACATTGGTTTTACACTCATCATTTCATTACAATGATTACAATCTCTCCATGCATCGTCATTCAGCAGTATTTGTTTCTATTCCCTGTTTTTTGTTTTGGATGTACATAGAAACACTCAGGAATATATAATCATTTACACGACCAAAGGGCACATTCTATAAGACTGCCTCCTGGCCAGCATCACCTAGCTGCCAGCACACAGCCTTTCTCTTTCCACTAGTCTAGAGTCCTCAGCTGCTCTATTTCTCCTTGCCGTCATCTCTGTCTCCATCTGGTGTCGCTGCTTCTCTGGATAAGGTCCCACATTTCCTCTGGAAACTTTTACAAGCTTCCTTTATCTTATGAGTGTAGATATTTTGTCAGGGTGTGTTCTGGTGTGTCATTTTTCATTATTGTAGTTTTGCAGTGGGTAGAGTAGAGCTGTGATTATATCAGAGTAACTTTGTCAGAAAATATCAAACTTTATCTGAAGCATTTTAGTTGGAAAGAAGTTTGAGCTGAATAGAGAAAACTATTATCTGAGTTTAAAAAATTAAATCATCTGGAGATTTTCTGATCATGAAGTGACATTAGTGTGGAAAGAAGACATGGGAAAGGAAAAAAAAATAATCTGGTGAAAACTTATAGCTGAAAAGACAGAAATTGATCTGGATAGCAGATGAGTGGAACCATGTCTTATTGAATGGTGTGATATGGTTGTTAGAGGGCAAAACAGGAGGTCCCTTTGGTAATGGAACTGTTCATATCTTCTGTGGGGTGGATACATGAACCGACGTTGTTGGTGGTGGTAAGTGCTATGGAGTCAGTCTCAACTTATAGTAACCCTTTTTAGGGTTTCTGGGTGTCCTTGTGTGGTGCAGTAGGATAAAACACTGGACCACAGGTTGTTTTGAGCTGTCGGGGTCCGGCCTCTACAGGGAAGTTTGGTTCACGAAGTAGGGAGATCTGGCGGTGAAAGAGATAAAGAATATACACACAGATGTGACGAGAGAGACAAAGAGACACCCTGAAACCAGAGTGGATGCAAGACTGGCAGGCAGACCCTGGATTGCAGGCATCATGGCCCCTGCAGGCAGTAATGCACACAGGGTTCAATCTGCGCCCTTCTTTTATTTCAGGGAGGGATTTTACACAAAGGAAGAAGGTGATCATTAAGACAAGGTACAGAAATGAAATGTGATTAATTGTTCAAAATAGGACACAATGATTTACAGGAACAAATTCTCAAACATACATCGCAAATTGTTTTAATAATCTAACATCCTTAATTTTCCAAAATTCAAGCAAATTGTTATAAATTACTTTTTAGGTTCAAATCCTAAGGCAGCAACTCTAGGTTTCTCAAGTCTAATTAACATACCTAT